CCGGTCGTGTTGTGTGGTATGAAATCTCTATATTTTTGCTTACTCGGTACCTTTTTAGTAAATATATCTGGACCTCATAAACAAAACAATTGAAAACGAGCTGAAAAGTGAAGATTCCTACCTCATGGAGATAAGGATGTTTAGAATTTTCAATCTAATTATTTGTTTTAATCTTTATTATTATTATTATTATTATTATTATTATTATTATTATTATTATTAGTGGGATTCTTGTCTTGTTGGACAAGTTAGTATTGTTAGGATTCTTATTTTGTTGGACAAGTTAGTATTAGGGTTTTAGGAGCCTTATTTGAAGGACTCCTCTTTTTTTGTGTTATTCAGTTGATTATTGAATGAAATATGAAGTGATTGTGAGTTTTATTGAGAGAGTATCTCGTTTATCTTTCCGGACTCCTCTTTTTTTGTGTTATTCAGTTGATTATTGAATGAAATATGAAGTGATTGTGAGTTTTATTCAGAGAGTATCTCGTTTATTTTTCCCACTCGTACGTTTTCCCTACATCAGTTGGTATCAGCAGTCAGTACGATTCGCGATGCCTCTGGGACGAGAAGATGCCGCTGACAAACAACGTGGCGCAACCTTCAATGATCTGTTTCAACAAATCGACTACCGATTTCAACAATTGGACGTGCGTTTCACGGATTGGTTTGCCGACCTTTCGACGGGGATCGAGGATTTGCATTTGACGCTTACAACGTGGTTGTTTCGGAATTGCAAACGAACCGCGACTTGGCCGGCCGGGGCGGTCGCGGGGGTTATCGCGAAGTCGTGGCGGAAGAGGGCCTGGCGGGGCGCCCCGTCAGCGTACGCCACCACCGATGCACGGCGAGGACGACGGCGAAGAAACGTTGTCGGAGGTCAACCCCTTCGGCTTCCGACAGGAGCAGCAAGATGACGATCGGCGTTGGAAGTGATCCTTCCAAGTCGAAATCCTCGAATTTTCAGGGGCCTTTGTGGACACACGAGGGTCGACCGAATTTGAGGGCCCGCTTCGTTTTGATGACGAGGGGTCGACCGAATATACGGGTCCACCTATTTTTGATATCGAGGGGACGACCGATTATGAGGGTCCACCCATTTTTATGAGGAGCCACCTGTGGCGTCGATGGAGGACGAGTACCATGTGATTGTAGAATCATTTGTGAGGCCAGAGGTTGTGCCTGGAATGGATGTTTTCTGTGAATTGGAAGATGGATTTTCATGCTCTTTTATTCAACAAGCATATGTGTCTGATAATTCGCATAGTATGCCCAAAAAGAACAAAGCGGAGAATTGTTGTCATAGATTTTTTGCTTGTGAGTATATCAAGTTCATGGCCCGTCAAATTGGTCCGGTCGGGATTGTGGAGCAGTTGAAGACGAGATTGCTTCGGATTCGAGGACGAATCGTTTTCGACAGGGGGAGAATGATGGAGATAAGGATGTTTAGAATCTTCAATCTAATTATTTGTTTCACTCTTTATTATTATTATTATTATTATTATTATTATTATTATTATTATTATTATTATTATTATTAGTGGGATTCTTGTCTTGTTGGACAAGTTTGTATTGTTAGGATTCTTGTCTTGTTGGACAAGTTAGTATTAGGGTTTTAGGAGCCTTATTTAAAGGACTCCTCTTCTTTTGTGTTATTCAGTTGATTATTGAATGAAATATGAAGTGATTGTGAGTTTTATCGAGAGAGTATCTCGTTTATCTTTTCCACCCGTACACTTTCCCTACATCACTAGTGCACTGTCATTTAGTCAACACATAAAACTAGTTATAATAATAAAAGCAAACAAAAAGAAAAAATTAATGTAATCGGGGAACAAATGTTTAATTTTAGCAAGCAAAACGGCAGTTTTATGCGTCGAGACAACGTACGTTCTTATTTCTGAAAAGATAGAGGGGGTCTAATTCATTCGGACAATGCTACATGTACAATTGTAATTTACAACATTGGTTGACAACTTAGTTAAAAGTACCATCAACTCAAATCTCAACCATACATTTATTTGCATTTCAACCACCCACATCAATGCCACATCATATTGTCATTGAATATTGTACAAAAAAGTAGTACCAATAGCTTTTTCCAATTCAAAATCCTACTAGTGATAATCGTCTATGCTACACCGACATCTTTAAGACCATTTCCAGTCCTTAACTCAACTCTACCGCGGATTTTACTCTACTGTACAATAGTTAAACATTCATCTCCAGCCCTTATCTCTACATTTTACTCTACATCAAAAATATTATTTTTTATCATAGTTGAAAAAAAGAAAAAAAAAAAAACAGATTAAACCCAGTGCAGATGAATAGTACTGCACCGCATCTGACGCAGTACTGTAGAAATATGTATTATAGCGCATAAAAATAGCGCAGAGCTGGAGAATAAAATTTACACAACTCCAGCGTAATCCATCAATGTAGCGACGCGCTGGAGATGCCCTAAGTTAACTCCAATACCTTACATTTACTTTATACATTAGTTTGATAAAGCTTGTGCACTAAAACTTCAAATCATCTCCAATGTTTAACCTAAATTTTGCATCAATTCATATTATCCAAATAATTGTTTATTATTTGTATAACAAGTATAGTAAAAAAAACTATATATTTACTATAATTGATAATATTATGCAGCTATAGAGTAAAATTAGAATAATTATATGCTAAATATTATAGAAAACAGCAATGAGACATTTTAGATGAGTAATTTTCTACACGTTTCATAAGTATTTTTATACTTGTAGAATACTTACAGAGAAATGTTTAGAATAACAAGTATCATCCAACCATTTTCTAGATTAACCATTTTCTATCTAGATAATTAAGCTCCTGGTATAATATAGATAGCTGAACTATTTTAGGGTAGATTATACAATGAAATACAATCTATAATAAAATTGAAATTACAATTTTCAAAACTAACATAATAATATAATTATTTTATACAATTGACTCCAACCACGTTTAGCCCACCACAAGTTATCTGTCTTAGTTGGGCTTTATTGGCTACGGTGCTGTAACCCAGAATTTTTAAAATTAATTTTTATGACCATGTAAAAAAATAAAAAAAAAAACCATTTCTTAACAATAATTATATCATGTTTAAAAAAAAGTCTAAAATTAATTTTTATGACCATGTATAATAAAAATAAAACCATTTCTTAACGATAATTATATCATGTTTAAAAAAAAAGTCTAAATATATTTACAATAGTTTTAGAATAAACAATAAGATTTAATAGTTTACTAATATAGTTTTACGAGAATAGTAAATGCAATTATATAAAACTTATTAATAATTATTTGAAATGATGATGATCTAAGATGTAATAATAAAAAAATCTAAATATATTTAATATAGTTTTAGAATAAACAATAAGAGTTAATAGTTTAATAATATAATTTTATAAGAAAATAAGTATATTTAGCCACATTATTTTTAATTTTTTCAACTCATTTGAATTATTTTATATTCATATATTATATTAACTTACTATTGTTCTTGTGTCTCGTACTTGTGTATGTATTTTGTATGGATGATAATGTTAATTTGTAATACTTATAATAAATATAGTATAAATATAAATTATAAAATTAAAAATTTCTTGATTGATTATTATTTCTCATACTTATGTAATTACAAAAACTAAGTAAATAAATTTTTTATAGTACAACTACAACAAAAATTGATAACAATTGCAAAAAAAATCATTAACCAAAATTATAATAAATAATCTAAGTTTTAGTTTTAATAACACATGCCATGACCTTTTTATATTTGTAACAAACTTAAAATTCCCTCTATATATAATTTCATAATGCGCCGAGCCTACGTGACAAACTATCATGCTTCAGAATCCCATTTGGCAAAAAATCATGCTTTGGAGTTAGGCTTGGATGTAAATTAATATTTTTTATCACACTAAATCCATTAGTTTTTATAAATGTTTCTTCTTCTTATTTTAAGATTTTATAACTTTTTTGTTTGTATTTTATTTTTCATATATAATATATCAAATTAACCATTTTTTAACGATTTTCGATTTGACATCCATATTATATATATAAAATACAAAACAGTAATATAAATCCTTATAAAAAAAATTTAAATTTATTTATCAAACTAAATTAAATTATATCAAATAAAACTATAAATTATATTAAAAGTAATAGAAATTGGTATGTATTCTTTTAAAAATGATATTTACTTCAAATCTAATTGGTATGTTGTCAATCTAATAAAAATAAATAATTATCTAAATTCTAAAATTACATATAAAGTTAAAAAAACTGTGAAGCACGACTGATACGACACTTGATGTATTAGACATCTAATTAAGTAAAAAAATTAATCTATTTTTCTTAATATTAAATAAACATTACACTTATGCATATACATATCACCATATTATTTCTATTTATTTAAAATATATATTTTTATACTTATGTAATAGTAAATAATATCGATATTTTTATATGATATAAGTAAGAAAATTCAACACGAGTTGACATTTTCATTTAATGTACGGGTGTTTAACTATTATGATTAGAAAAATATAATTTAACAATTTAATTAAAACCCAAAGTAATGTTTTATATAAAATTAAATTATTTAAGTTTTTAAAAAATTAAAAAATTTAATATTTTTTTACAAAGCTTTCTAATTCAACACCCGTGTCATACACGGGTATTGTACTAGTATAAATATAAATGAGAGTTTCAATTAAGAGAAAATTTCTTCCTACACCATAAATTTTAGTTTTTATTACAGAAATAAACATCTATTGTAAATATTAACAATCCTACCTAAAATAAACATCGATTGTTTTTCTTTGTTGATATACCAGAAAACAACGTCATCCTTTTTTTTTCGCAACGGTAGGAAATTTTATATCAACCA